GGTAGAAACATTGAGAAATTTATATCTTCTATGACATCAGGAGGAGAATTCTAATCATATCAATTTTTCTCTGCCTTCTTCAACACAGTTATGTTTCTCTTCATAACTAGGAGAGAAAGGGAAATGGCCTTTCCTCCCTTGTGCTTCCTTTTATTAAGGGGGGAAATTTTTCCCAGAACTCACAAGCAGACTGCCCATTAGAACTCATCGGTGAGGATCAGGCCACGTGCCTTTGCCCAGTTGCAAGGGAGGCTAGGAAAAGGAGTTCTGGCATTTTCCCTCCTTGTAAAGGTAGATTGGTTCTGCCAATAAGGAATGAGAGGACAAGTGAAAGATGACTTAAATGTGTCAAATAATGTGAAGTTTAATAATGTGTGTGTGTGTACGTGTGTGTGTGTGTATACACAAAATTTGTTAAATCTCTAAGTGTTATCAAGCATAGTACTCAGTACTAAATATGGAGAGTGATTTATTTTAATGCCACTGCACTTGTTTTGATTTCATTAACCTCTAGAACCATTCCGTGTACATCAGTAAAGACTGTGGACATTTTAGAAAGCTCTATAAATAGAAACAGAAACTTTAAGATTTTGGTTTTCAAATAACTTCTTGTACTATTTATTAAGCTACTGTCTCTAAAATTTAAATCCACCTTTCTGTAATCCGCTTTGTGAATCTGGGACTTGAATTACAAGCCACAGTCTGCTGGCTCCAGGTTTGGCTCTGCCAAGAGAGGGTCCTAGTGGGAGGCTGGAAGAGCACGAAGGGCCTGCTCCATCCTGTTTGAGCCTGTCTTTCTGCTTGCTCTCCCCATGAACCCTAGAAACAATTTCTCCTGCTGCAGAAGCAGATCATTCTGGTAGCAGACTTGATGCGTTTTTACTTACTCCAATGCTCCCAGGGTCCCTCCTCAGCCGCGTCAGCACTGGTTGGCTAGAACATTCTCAAAGGTTTGAGTGCACTTACAGGTTTTCACCATCTCCCTCTTCGCTGTTTCCCCAGGCTGAGCGGAGGCTGCTTCCTGAAGTTCCTACTTCCACAAAACCTTAGTGTTCCCCTTTTGCTTCCAGTTCTTCAATATCTAGCGATCAATTCTTTATCAGTTGATTCTCTAATAGGCTAAATCTGTTCTTTTAGAGAGGGTGCTTACAAATTTTTAAAAATTTTTACCAAAAGGAGGCTATACTGCTTCATCTTTTTCTGCCTCCCTCTAGTCATGTTCACCTACTGTTTTTCTTCACCGTTCACATACCGTATCGGTGGCCATAACTTTAAAGGATTAGATGCTGTCGTCTGCACTTCTTCACCCACATCATTACAATCTTTAAAACAATTCTAACCAGAAATCTCTGTATGGGCTATTTAATCGTTTTCAACTGTTTCCTTGTATTGTATTAAATTCAGCATATACTCCATATGTGCGAAGTTCTCTAAGCTCTGAAGTCCCGGCTTTGAAGTTAAGACAGACCCAAGAGAACTGTAGCTAGAACAAGAGGGAAAGTGGCACCAGGGGTGGGAAAAAGAGGGAGACGGCGACTATTTTTTTTTTTTAAATAGAGAAGCAATAGGATATCAGTGGTGACAAGGAAAGAACTAAAGGTGGTGGTAACAGTAAGAGATGTCAGAAGATATGAAATATTCCTTGGTTATCTTTTTAAGTAAATGGAAAAGGAGAGCTTTAAGGTTTGGCATTGAGCTTTATGACCGATGAGGACACAATGACCCTTCCACAATGTCTAGACTGACCTCGACACTTGAACTTGGGACTACCTGGAATTCATTGCAAGAAGACAGAATACTCAAGAAGGCTCAGGGACCTTTCCTCAAAGACTAACTGAATGAATTCAAACCCAAAGGGGGAAACATCTTCCAAGTTCACTTTAAAAACTTTCAAAAATGCTACTTAAAGCTAAAAGGCTGAGGGAGCAAGAACACAGTCCGTGAAATATTTGGGGCAAGAGCTGGGATGAAGTGGGGAGGAATAGAAGGAATTGTAAGGTTTGTTACCTAAGGGGTATAATTATACCTGCAACATATTTCCCAAGAATGTTTCAATCTTTTAAGTTTTCTGCTTCTGTGCTTTCAAAAACCAGTCCAGATATAGTCTTGTAAGTGTGGGATCCAGAGGAAATGTGAGATGTTTTACTGATTACTTTGAGTTCCCAACTGTCCTATTTTTTATAGCTATCTATAGTTATGTAGTTGACAATAAACTATTTTATAAATGTCAGCCACTTCTCACAAGTTTTAAATTGCTTACTTTCTACCTGTGAAACACTTGGAGAAATGACTTTAATTTTTTCTCTAAGTTAACCCTTAGTTGCAGCAATCAGAGAAAATTTGATTTGTTACAAGACTTCTTTCAAAGAATGTTTTACTTGAATGTGGTAACTTACTTCTTAAACTGGGGCTTGGTAGAGCTTCGTAGGTAGGTAGGTAGGTAAAATAATAATTTTTTTGTTTTAAATTTATAAATAACAGTAGAGTACTCAATCCATCTTTGCAGACCTGAAATAGAGTTCTGGGAACTCTAGTCCCTCTGTTCTATATAGGGCACCCCTCTGGAGCATGCCAGTTGGGGACATTTTATTTATTAATTGTTATAACTCCAATAAATGGAAAACTTCGATGCTCAAAGCATCCATTTCTCATTTATTGAATGGGAATAGAGTTCTCCCAGTCAGCTACCCAAGGTATCACTAAATTGAAACATGTCCACTGTGATAAGCCAAAAGAACAAAAAGCTGACCTAAATGGATGGAGGCAACCAGAAGGAACATATTGAAAAAGGTGAGTTTAGAAAGACAGGAAGAGAAATAAATGATCATAAGGGAGCAGAAAAGACTCTGATGAATGGAAGCAAGACATATACCTTTGTTTCATATGAGGTGCTTAGAAAAATGATAGTAAGGATGTTTCAGTGAATGTGCCATCCTCTGGAGAGACAAAATATAGAATAGTGCCTATTTCTATTTGGAAAATTTTTCATTTATTTATTCAGTAAATATTTGTTGAGCACCTACTACTGTCATTTGTTTTTGTTCTTAGTATTGGCTGGGGAGTAGGTATGTATATATAGAATAACAACATCTAATACATCTTTAGATGAATGTACTGAGTTTGAAGTTGCTTTTCTTTTCCCTCTCTTTCGAACATTGCTGACTTCCATACCTATCTCCTTAGTTTTCCCACAACTGTTAGGTTGAATGTTATGTCTATTTTACATGAGGGAACTGAAGCACAGAGGTGTATAGAGATGGGCCCAAGCTCGCATATCTAGAAACTGAACCCAGCTCTATTTGAATCTCAAAGGATCCTTAACTGCTACACCAGCTGCCTGCCTGATTTTGGTAAAGGGATAGTGGGCCACTGCCAGCAAGTTTACTTGAACAAATAATCTATTGTATATAGCAATGAAAAATGAAGTTTTAAAATGGGTATTTAATAAAGGCATAAGACTGCCATTATTAAATTCAGAAGTGACAAAATAAAAACAACGATTGCAAAAGAGGATTCTAGACTTCCTTAATTAAAGACAGCAATTGGAAGCAAGTAGAAGTGTTTTCGTTCGTTTGTTTGTTTTTTAAAAGGTATGCCAGTAATAGTCATAGCATGATACAGAGCAGGATTAGGTTCATGGACATTTGAAGGAAGATTCAACCAAAGTTGGGAAGGTGACTGAGAAGACAAGGTAATGGAAGAGTTAAAGACCATTCCTTAGCTGGAAAGCTTAGGAAACCAGGGATGGTAAGTATACTGTTATTAATTTTTTAAATGGAATGAAGCGGTTCTTTTGGGTATGGTGAGAAGATGAACCTGATAGTCAATAGTCACATAATCAGGAGCTGCATTGTGTATTTAGAGTAAAAGTTTATGGCATCCTCCCCAGCTTTTATCCACCCCCAGTTCAAACTTCTTATCCCCCACCAGGGCAAAAGGCCAAAACAAGTTTATAGGAAGGGATACTTTGGAAAGACTGGGCTATAAAGCCAACTGAACTTGTTGATAGCTCAATAATGGATTTGGTCAGACCCGAGATCTAGTTCCAGCAGCACTTTGCAAAGATTGTGAAGGCTGTTAGTTAGATACCAGGGTCTTTCTGTCTTTCCTCCTTCCCTTTCCTCCTCCCCCTTTCAATTTTGGTTGTGGGTAAAATACGTAGGACATGTGCTTGTGTCACTCTGGCTGATTTCTCGATACTGAATAATGAGTTCCGATAACTGACTCTGAAAAACAGAACAGATCTTAATTTGGGGTATATTTTATATAGATTTGTCTCTAACTGATCCTGATAAATATCTCCCCATGAGCCCCACCTTGTTTGTTCAGAGAATAATTTGTTCTAGTTTTATATTCAATAAATGAGTCACCAAAATGTCTCAGCACATATTAGACACCATTTAACATAAGAGGTTTTTTTTATCAGCGGAGTCTGTTTTATCTAGGCAAATATTTCCTTATTAATTCAATCCAAACAAGCTTCTTGAAATTATGTATTTTTTTATTCCACTTTAAAATATTAACTTCTATTTCTTCCTTCAAAAAATTAGAATTTTTGCTTCTAATTCACTCATTTCTTGTGTCGAAAGAAAAATCAATAATCTCTATACTCCAGCTATATTTATTACATTCAACCTTCTTCCACTTTGCTAACAAACAGCAAAAATAATAAAGGAACAAACTCAAGAAACAAACAAAAACAAAAAGAGAGAGAAAAATAAAATAACAACTATAGGAACCAAAGTCTGATGCAATTTCATAATAATAGAATAGAAAATACCTTAACAAAGTTATGGCATTACATGGACAGGCCTGCATCTTTAAGAATTTGAGTAACCAACAGAAAATATGAATTTATTTAACATATTTTCTCACAAATATCTCGTGGTTTTGCTGTAAATTTTATGGCTTTTCATAGATGCATACTTCCTAAGTGAGATTCTATAAAAGGAAGCAAGATATTACCAGGAGCTACACTACAGCTGTCACTCCATACTTACAGCAACAGCCTCCAGGATTTGTTTAACAGCATCTGCAGCATCTCGTTCACTGTAATACCCCTTTTCCACAATCCTAAAAACACAAACACATGGAATGCTTCTCAGACACCTGCATTCAATTGAGTGGATGCTAAATGAAGTTAATTAAATTAACATTAAAGAGGGCGCATCCAAATAATTGCAACAGGCTACCCTAACACCAGGAAAAAGATTTCCATAAACTGGCACTCTAGAAATATTTGGGTTTATTTACGAAAATTAAAAACATGTATTTCCTATTAACATTATATAAAGCAATGAAAGTGAATAAACTTCAATTATTCATAACAAATAAAAGGAAAAATAAAAATAATTTATTTTGCTAGGCTTGAACTGTCCATTCTGTTATAGGACAAAGTCTTTCTTTTTAAACTTTGTATTGTGAATCATTTTAAATGTATACCAAGTTGATGGTATGCCATAAACCATCTCCTATAATTGTCACATAGCTTCAAAAGTTATTAATTCATAACCAATATTTTATCTACCTAGTTAATTAATTCCCTTCTTTCTTTATTATTTTGAAGCAAGTATTGGATATCATATAATTTCATTTATAACTATGTAAGGAGATATCTCTAAGTGATAAAGGGCCTTTTAAAAATCACAACTACAATGCCATTATCATGCCTATAAATTACAATTATTCTTTAATATAAATATGCAGTGTTTCAAATTTCCAATTGTCTTGGACATGTTAAAATTTGTTGTTTGTTTGAATCAGTATCCAAACAAGCTCTCTCTCCCTCTCTGCCCTTCTCCTTACTCCCTCTTTCCTCCATTTGGTTTTCTTTTCCAAATAAGTGACTTGCTCTTTTTGCATGGGTGACGGCAAGTAATTTCTCTTTTAAGTTAAGGTCTTTTCTTTTTTACTTTCAGGAATGTTTTGTATTTATTTTCTTCCATTACTTTGTTTTTCTTCTTTGGGTTGTGCAACTATGCACATATAAGAGTTTTTCAAATTTTGATTTACATTGTTCTTCTCTGATTTTCTTAATTTTAGTTTATTTTGCAATAGTAAGTTATAGTTTTATCAATATTGTGGGCACATCCTCCTGGCATGTTTTCACTGCCCACAGAAAACTTATTCTGCTTTTTATTTTCTGTGCTCTTATGATCATTTTATATTGGAATTAACTGAGACACCTCTCTGTTGCTGTTTATTTTAAGCCAAATTAGTTTTATTTTTTAAAAAATTAAATTATAGCTAACATACAATATTATATTCGTTTCAGGTGTACCATAGTGGTTTGACATTTATATTCCTTATGATGTGATCACCACAATAAGTCTAATAACCGCCTGTCACTGTGCAAAGTTATTAATGATAATATTGACTATTGTCCCTATGCTATATATTACATCCCCATGACTTATTTCATTTTTTGTAATTGGAGGTTTGTACATCCTATTCCCTCCTTCACACTTTTGACAGAGTGATAGGCCAGGCTATCTTTTCTAGTTTCATGGCTCTCGACCTTCTTTTTTTTGTGTGTGTGCTTTTTCCATGAAGCATTAAAAATATGACCTCATAGTTTCTGAGATCTCCTCCATCTGGAACTTCATGCTCTTGCTTCCATCAGCTCTACTCTGGTTATTGGAGTTTCTCCCTAGCAGTTTCTCCTAAATATGGGGCTTTTTCCCTAAAGGGCTTCTGGTTTTAATTTCAGGAGTTCACAGAGCCTTGACCGCATTAGTCGCTTTAGTCCTTCCTGTGGGTGTAACCTTTGCACTTCTCAGAAATGTGGGTGGCAAACCTGAATTCAGCTGTTTTGTTTGTATTGGCCCATCCTGCCTCCCAATAGTTTGGAGATTTTAGAGATTTGAATGCTAACCTTTGCTTCCTCTTACATAGATGCAGCTCTTGGAATTGTCATTAGTTTGCCCTCCTTCACTTGTATTTTAGGTTTCATAAGGATACCTTGTCACTTGGTTTTATTATATTGTATGAATTTTTGGTCTTTCTGTCCTAATTTCTCTGTCTATTCTTAAAAGCATATTAAGAAAAAATAAAAAACTACTTTTTTGCTGTTTCTATCTTACCAGAATTTCCAGAGAAAACACATTTTGGATGGCACCGTAGATTACCATCTTGCATAAAATGTTTTTAGCTAATAAAAAGTTGTGGTAAAGACGTGTGAAAACAGTCAATTCAAAACATTAAAGTGACAAAACAACAATTTTTGTAATTTTGCATTGAAATTGTTTTAGACTGTTAATTCCTCAAATATCAGTTATTTTCAGAAAGTATCTTTTTTGTAAAAGAAAAATATTCTTAGCAAGAAGTTTTAAGTTCTCAAAGTAGCTGGTGTTAAAAATTGAACTTAAAACCTATAAAATGTTTTCACAATAGGGGACAAAGGGTGAGAAATGAAGAACACAACAGATATAAAAGAAGACACTTCAATAATCATAATTTTCAAGATTCAGAAAAACTATATTGATGCAAAAAATTCAATTATTTTATTTTCTCCATTCAATTATTTAGAACATTGCCAAGAAACACAAAAAACTTATCTTTTCAAAAGATATAAGATGGGAGAAGATTTGACTTTGGGTGGTGGGAACACTGTAATATACAGATCTTATAACATAGAAACTGACACCTGAAACCTATATGATCATATTAACCAATGCCACCCCAATAAATTTAATAATGAAATAAATAAAAACAACTGTAATCAACAAAAAATAAACATACTTATTGCTATACTTCTCTTCAGATTTAATAAACTAATTTCCTTTTCATGCTTCGTAAAATAGTAAGAAGGCAGTTACAGTGCTACCAGCATCTTGAGATCACTTTCAAAGGCCCAGCCAGAGCCATGTAGTTTGTTGCTATGACACACAATTTCTCCTAGTTCCACGTGGGCTGGGCTAGAAGACTCAGTGGTAAAAACAAAATCTCTCCTAGGATTTTAACCACAACACTGACCCAAAAGGCTGCCTGGGATCCCAGCTCCAAGAGGTCCCTGAGTCGCTAAGCTGTCTGGCTCACATCTGGAGATCTGGGACGGCAGCACAGCAAGGCGTGTTTCCCTGGGCTCCCGGGCTGTGGCTCCGTGGCCCCCGCAGGCCTGCTACTCCAGGCTGTGCCCTTTCCTTCCACTGTGCTGCATCGCCCCGCATGTTCCTCCTTCCCACAGTTGGAACTGTTCTCCTTCTCACCATTTTAAAATTGTAGGATGAAAAAACACAGGCAATGCCTATTTCTCTCCATGGATCTGCTTTAAAATATGACTTTTGTGCATTAGCTTCTGTCACCTTAATTGCTGCAAATTGAATTGAGCGCATCTCCAGCCGGGCAGTTAGTGCAGGCAGTGCAGCTGGAGGGCTCTAATCCGATCATAGCCAGAGGCCCTCAGACTTCCTGGCACGTACGCTGGGAGCCTCACTGTTCCCTCCACCAATGGCAGTTTTTCTCAAAGGGAGATGTTATTGTTATTAGATGACTGTAGGTTTATGTGAGAAAGATGTTGGTCTTATGAAAATGTGTGCTATCGGACTGAATGACACAGGGTAAAATCCCCAAACAATATGAGTTTCAGGAACTAAGTCTTAAAGACTGTTAGTACATTATTATGCTGGTACAGAAAAAAATACATTAAAATGAATTCCGCTGTTTTCTTTTAAATCCACCGCTCCTTTATAAGCTTCACTCACTGCCTTTTCTCATTTCATCGATGGCCCCTTGGTCTGTATTGATGTTTTTTCTAAGAACATTCCCAAAGAGTATTAAATTCATATACTTAAAAAAATAGTTTCAAAGGTAGTATTACCACCTGTTAAATTTGAAAGCTGGAGAGAGAGTGAGGAGATTGTGGACCGATGTGGGTGCTGGCCAGGGAGTTGACAGTGCAGGAGAAAGGGGAGGCCAGATTCAAATTGCAGGCCTGGGAACACAGCCTAGGGATTCCTAGTTCGGTTCTCTCCTACTATAAATGAAAAGCCCAACCCAAGGATGTCACAGAAACTGCTCAAGAGCACATTATTTATTCAATCTCTCACTTGACAAATATCTAGCAACTGCTTGCTTCCTGTCCAGAACAGCTTCTGAAAGGTAGACTAAGACATTTCCATCTAAGACACTCAGGACTAAGACGCCAGCCCCGACCCGTGTGGCCTGCTTTTGGACATCACTTTGTTCTCCCCTCTGCCCTTTGCCTGCTGACCCATGATTTCTCCCTTAAGATTCAGCGCAAAAGACTCTATTCCCCCCTGAATCCATTTCTGACTTAGAAGACTCCCGCATTTTGTGCCCCATGTACTGTGTTCATGCCCCAACTAGGGCACTTATCACTCCCGCATGAATACTTATAGCCAAATCTGCGGCCAACCTCTAGCAAATACAAAGCATCATATGATAGGACGTTTGTGTACTGATTCTTATCTATCTATATATTTTTTGTCCCTTCTCATTTATTTATTTTTTTATCTTGTTGATCATGTTCAATAAATTTCTAAGAATCATGACAAGATTGAGCAGGATGGAAGAGAAAACCTCTGCAGCTTTCTTTTTCACATTATATCATAATTTTGTAGAGTTTTTTTGGGGGGGATTTTCTTGGATACACACACAGAAATCACTGATTTTATTCCAAAAATTTTAATCAATCATCCTATGCAATTTACTGTTTATATTCTACATGAAATGGCAAATTCCACTTGGATTTTTACTATGCTTAGTTTTTTAGAAGCACCACAGAATATATGCTTTAGTGCTAATAAAAGATAAGCATTTTGCCTATAATGTACTAACATGATTATCTTTTCTTCAATTGCTCCTTTAGTTCATTCATTAAATACTGTTAAAGCCATCATTAGACAGACCAGGGATGAATTTTTATCATCACAATTAAATAGATTTGGTTTTTTACCTAAGTACAGGAATATGAAAGTATATTACGATTTTTAACTCTCAAGAAAGAAAACAATGCAAAGATAATAATGAAGGATATATTTTCAGCTTGATGCAATTTTGAAGATAACTGTGGAGTTAAGAAATTTAATGAAGAAACCAAGTTCATCTCAGATATGGCAACAGACATGTAGACAACAACATTAACGGGGGAAAGTAATCTATTGCCTGAGACCACTAAGAGTTTATAGAGTAGTTGAGTGCTTTACTGGCTGCCTGCCATTCTTTAAACATGTTCTGTTAATTCTGAATATTTTATCCATTTTCTCTGTAAAAGAAATTTATCAACAGCATTTAGTTTTTCGTTTTTGTTTAAAGCTGAATTAACTCTACTTTATCAAAATCAACTCAACTGCAAGATGAGAGAACCAGAATTCTTCCGTGAAAGAAAGTTTTGGAAAAAGGGAAGGAAAGAAACTTGATTCCAAGATAATTTGAACAAATAGAGGTAGGTAGGTAAATAGTAAGTGTTATTGGTAGACAATAGCTTCAGTGTGACATCCCCATCCTACAATTATTTACAATTAAAGAGCATGAGATTTCTCTCTGATAGGCCCAGAAATATCTTGAGTTCTCCTTCGAGACACCTCATGGCTACAAAGCCATCAGGATCTAACTATAAATTGACTCTAAATGTTCCTAAAGAAGGAACATGAAAGAGTCAGCTAAAGAGGTGTTGAAAAAGGAGCCACAGTCTGCAAATTNATTGGTAGACAATAGCTTCAGTGTGACATCCCCATCCTACAATTATTTACAATTAAAGAGCATGAGATTTCTCTCTGATAGGCCGTAACCAGCACAGAAATATCTTGAGTTCTCCTTCGAGACACCTCATGGCTACAAAGCCATCAGGATCTAACTATAAATTGACTCTAAATGTTCCTAAAGAAGGAACATGAAAGAGTCAGCTAAAGAGGTGTTGAAAAAGGAGCCACAGTCTGCAAATTCTGGTGACATTCAAATAAGCTAGTCCAGAAGAGTCTTCACTAAGCATGGGAACATGATGGTTTTAGAACAAGACTATTCTTATATAATCAGAGTGATCAGACTGTTTCAGATCAGAGACAGAGTGGATCGGAGTGCCTCAGCTGCCTTGGCATCATAGGACTGCCTCAAATTTGTTCTGAGGTTCAAAAAAGTTAAGCAAACCACTCTAGGTTAGTTATTTGTCCCTTAAGTCAGCATCTGGAACCTTTAGTGTAACTGACTATCAGCCAACTGCCACAAGAAATACGTTTAAAAACTGATGCCCACTTCCCTCAGTTGATTCATTTATTTGCAATGAACGTAGTTAAAATGTGACAACTGTTAAAGTCTGATCATTCATAAAACTTATTCTAAGGAAACTTCAACATATGTATGAATGGGAGAAGTGCTCCTTTCCTAGCACAGTCTAAATCTATCCCTTTTAGATATCTTCCTTCTCAGAGTCCACTCATCTTAGTGGCTGCTCATTCATTCATTCAGCAAATATTTATTGAGAATTTACTGTGCTCTATGCACATAGAATATATCAGCAGTTTCCTCAATCTCTCCTCTGTCTTCCATCTGCAACCCACATCTTTCTTAACCAATTTATTTTTTAACCAACAAGACGTTTACATTTGTGCATAACTTCTTATCATTTCTAACATATACCTACTTAGTCCTTTGACTTCTTCCAATTTTATTATTTTTTTATTAACCCAATGAGTACAGCAAAGGGGTCCCAAGAGATCATCAGGTTAAACAGGGAATTATCCTGAGAAGACAAGGAAGGTGGGAAAGCTATGGAGGCTTAAAGCTTGTGCCTCTTACACAAGCACTTTGCTTATATTATACTCTACTGGTTTTGCGGGCACACTCCTTGCCTACCTCAAACCTCTGCCTTGAATGATGAAGATATGAAACGTCAACAAAAATTGGTCATTATTGGATAGAGCAGAACACGTTGTACCCTGCAGTTTGAAACTCTTTACGCAGCCTAATAGAGAAAGTAGGCTTCCAAATAATCATTCGAAGAATATTGATTTTTAAGAGCTTTTGGATCATAATAAAGAATACAATTATAACACATTTAACATTCTATAATTTTCATCCAATATTTTCTCACAAAATATTGTCATAAATATTAGTGTTTAGTTTAGATTTAGTATGACTTTAGAAATCCTGTTTTTTATTGGGGCAGCAAATGTTTGTAAAAGTAAATAGATAGAGTGTTTCCCTTTTTAGTCACTAAGAATCCCAACTTTTCATCCAGTCACATCTTACCAGATATCACTCTTTTTTTGTTCTACACTCCTCTAAGATTTACTTTAGTAGAATTTATTAACTGGTATGATGTGTCGTTATGAAAAATTTCAGAAGAAATTTCCCTTTGATTCTTTTTTGATGACTAGAAGCAAATCCTTTCGGTGGTTGGATTTCCAGGATCAACTCACCTGTCAAACAGCTCTCCTCCTGTGACGAGTTCTAGGACCAGACTGATTTCTGTGGGAGTTTCAAATATCTCTTTAAGTTTTATCTAGAGAAAGATATAAAAAAAAAAATCACAGGTTTCTTACTGTTACCTTTCTGAGAAATAGCTAAAGCTATTGCTAAAACAAAACTCTGTAATAGTAACATGTTGGATCATTGTCAATAAAGGGTCCTAGTGCTAGTATCAGGGAGCCATTTGTCACTCTCTGATTGTTTTTATCAGTGACTTCATTTCTTCAAGGCTCCTTTTGATTTTTTATATTATTCTTTTGACAGATGAAAGATACCTGCTTTAGAAACACTTTCTAATTTTTATCAAAATATATCAATTTCTGAATTGATGTAGAATTTAAAAATAAAAGCAAGCAAACAAAACTTCCGAAACCATTTGAAAGCATCACGGTTACTGGGAATGCAAATGCCTCTTCTCCTGGGAAGGAACTTGGAATCTGGAGTCTGAGACAGAACAGGACCAGGTGAAAGTATGTCTTTATGGAAAGGATATCCCTCAACTGCAAAAGAGCTGCTGGTGGGTGAAGGGATCCTCAGAAAAGTAGAATGGCAATGACTTGATTGGTCATAACAGGGCTTTCATCACATTCAGATAATCCATCCGATTTTGGATATTTTCTTTAATACATCTGAAAATCTAATGACAGATCTGATCTACATTTGAAGAAAATGATTTGAGGAAAATTCCACACTGACTTCTCTTTGAAAGATGGACAATGTAAAGGTGATGATTGTATGTGGCCAATGTTATTAAACTGCTTATCCAAAGCCCTTCGTCCCCTACTTTACTGCAAACAGAACTCTGAATTGGTTTCTGGAAGAAAGGTGCCTGGCCTCAGATTATGGGTCGTAACTTGCCTGAGCCACTTATGATTACCCTGCTCCCCAACTTTCCCGGTCTCTGTGAAGTTAAGGTTGCTCTTGTGACCAGCTCTGACCAATACGGTCTGGAGAGAACTGTGCCACAGCTGGAAATTCTGGAAAAACTTTTACTCTTCTCATCAGATTCTGCTGTGGGGCCTTTTTCTCTTCATTCTGTCTTGTATATAGACCTGAGGGCTTGCAGAGGGTGTGGAGAGACCATTTTAGGCCTTGAGGGGAAAGCATGAGGGTGAAGGTGAATCCACTGAGGATGGTAGAACCCATACGTGGCAGGTGTCTTGGTGCTGGGTGACATACACTAAGGAGCTGAACCTATGCTAGGAACTGCCTGCCTTCTGGTTCCTTATAACCTAAAGAAAATGACTGTTCAGACGACTGTATTCAAGTTTTCTGTTATTTAAAGCTGAGTGCATTGGTAGCTCATACATTAAGTTCTAAGCACTTTGCCTTGAGCCTACACATTTCAGGTCACCCTCCTGAACACAACTTTCTCAGAGAAATGAGTAAAATGTTTTCTTTCAGTAGTTGGCTCAATTCATAAAAACAAGAGATGGCCTGGAAACTGACTTTGTTCTTTGCACTTCACTGGCTCAAGAAAGCTTTTCAAAAATCAGACCTTGCCCCCCATGCCTTTGGACATAGCCTAGAGCAGAGCTTCCAAAGACCTTTTATTTTCCCCACTCAGGCATGGCGTTTATTTGATGCTCTGCATTGTCTCTGAAACAGATGCTCTTTCAGAGGAGGCTGACATGATTTTGGAAAGCAATGCATTTTCTTCACAGGCCTTTTCAGGAATGGTATGTGAATGAGATAGACACCCAAGAGGAAAAGCCAGGGTTTTATTAGAGCGAAACAAAGCTGTCCAAATTTCAGCTATCATTTTATGAACAGAAGTAAAGCTGGTATATATTGCTGATCTGTCCATTTTCAAACTCTTTGAAAAGGTACTGTATTTAAGATTCATTCACCTTAAGAACTGAAATATGTCATCAGATGAGGACAGCAGCCTGTGGCTGCTTACTGCTGGTGGAAGAATCCTTTTTCCATGATCAGCATGGACAGCAAAAAACAAAAATCCCATTCTATAACTTTAGAGGTTATTTGAAACAAAAATCCCATTCTATAACTTTAGAGGTTATTTGAAATAATAGTTTAAAAACCACTTACAATGTTCGGATGTGAGAGGCGAAGTAGAACTCCTATCTCAGTTCTCACGATTTTTTTGTCCACCTAAAAGGCAAAATGAAGAGAGAAACTGAGACTCCCACTTTAAAAATGTCTTATAGCAGAGAATCAGAAGCAGCAATAACCACCTGGGTGAATCAGGTAATTGGTGAATGAACAGGAAAAAAAGGAGAGGGGCTCTAATAGCAAATTTCTATTAAGACTTGAGCCGCTTGGCTATCTTAGATGTGGCCTAGATCTTGACTCTGGAACTTCAAATCAAATACTCTTGGGAAGTGGGGGTGACCTTTATAAGTAGAGGCTACTGCTCTACTTCTATGATTCAGCCAAGTACAGCAGTATTTCCACTAAAATGCTCAGCCTCATCTCATTTTCTTTGCAGGCTTTGAGACTATAAGTGTTTTGTCTCTCTATCCTTCCTCTAGGCTCATTTATAGTCTTCAAAATGACCAGAGAACATTATGCAAAGTATAGAACTGTGCTCCTCAAATCCTTTGTGGGAAAAGGCAACATATAAATTATTAATGGTAAGTAAATAGACAAATGTCTTTAAATTTTCACGAGCATTTCCTTCTGCAGAGCTTCTGCTTAATTTAGCATCCTGTTTTCTGGCATATCAAGTACATGTTGTCATGAACATATCTGTTGAAAAGACTTGACAACTGGAGCTTTGTTAAAGTCAAGAATGATAGTTTTAGCCTACAAGGATTTGAAAGTAAAAAACTTTCAACATGAAAAAACCTGTTATAACATGCAAAAATCAAAAGTGGGACACATAAAAAAGATCAAGGTTTTCCTACCTGAGGATAGTCTCTCTAATAACTATAGAATTTTAGCCAAATCTGATTATTCCCTTTATCTGCTTGATCTAACAGAAACCTGGGCATCTCATGACTAGCTTATGTTTTTCATTGTCTTCTCAAATAGTGACTTGTTTTTACCTCAATGGACAACATACCACAGGGCCTGAAGGGAAGTATCCTCCTCTTCATTGCTAGGTCCAAACTATTTCTCCTCCCTTGTCCCTCAAAAATCCCAGCTGCTTTGAAATGTCTGCCATCAGCCAAGACAACCTGCAACTTCTCCTTGTAGTCATCTTCCCATCTCCTTATCACTTATCCTATACTAAAGATTTTAGCATATTTTAGGGACTTTATCTCAGTCATTGAGCTTATCATTTTAACAACTTCAACTTTCATGTGGACGACCCATTCAACATATCCTTGTCTATCAGTAACAATCTCTTCTTCCACTCCTCTTAGCCACCCATTCCCATGGTCACATCCTAGGCTTTATCATTATCACCAACTGAACCACTTCAAAAACATTGATTTCTAACTCCACACTCTCTGCTTTCTACCTTCTATACTTTTAGCTCTTAGCTTAGATTTCATGGCCCATTAGTATAAGCAATGATCTGCACATCCCCCCAACTCCTTTGCTCTTACCTTTCTCTGTTCTACTTGCCAAGAAAAAACCCTAATGTGGTTAACTCCAATCTTCTCTTACTCCATATCTGTGCCTGAACTAAAGTGGTTGGAAGAAAACACACAATCATATTGATTGGTCCCACTTTTAACTTATGACCACAGTCTCAAGAGGCCTACAGCTCCCTCGCTCTGCAGCAGAACATTTTAACTTTCTCCCTCATGCCTCCAATACTAACTCCTTCTTTCACTCTCCTTTCACAATCTTGCTTCTAATTCAGTGAGAAGGTATAAACAACCCAAAAAGAACATAGTCTTCTCACCACCCAACCTACCAATCTATATGCAATTTGTATCCAATGAACTTCATCGATTAATTCCACAAATATTTTTGTGCATCTTCTATATAAAGATGCTATTCTGGGCATGAGGATACAACAGTGAACAAAATAGATAAACTTCCTAAGAAATTTGTGTTCCAAGAAACTTATGTTCTAGTGAAGACAGAAAATAACAAATAAATAAAGGTCCAGAGTTGATAAGTACTAAAGAAGAGAAAAAAAAACAAGGTAAGGGCCGGCAGCCGTGGCTCAGCGGTTGTCGACCCTTCCCAGGAAACCCCCCAGCCGCCTCTGCATTCTTGCTCTGCTCCCTCCCCTTGTCCGGCAGTCAAGCTGGCGTCATCCAAGCACTCCTCCAAACAGCTCTTACAGAAGAAATTCGTGGCCTCCATGGAAGAGCCGCTTGGAGCCAAACTACTAGCTACTTTTCTGATAGAACCTTATCCGGTCGGTAGCATTTGACCTGCTATTTGATCACTCCCTTCTTAAAATAAAGTGGACTGTTCCATGTCATCATTCTGGTCCCATGATTCTGCTACTTAAAAGGCTGCATTGGCTCTGTGACACTTCTTAACTGGTCCCCCTGCTTTGATGCTTACCCTTTATAATCATTCTGTCTGCACACAGCAGCCAGAGTGGTGTCTTTACACTGTAAATCTGATCCTGCCACTCTCCAACTTCAGTGCCATTGTTGTCACCCCACTGGGCTTAGAATAAACACCCCTTTAGATCCAACAGGCTTTTCAATGCCCGGACCAGGCTCCGAGGCCTTTGCACTTGCTGCCTTCATTCCCACTGGACCTCGCGTCACTCAGAGAGTAACTTCGAGGCCTTCCCTGGTCATTCCAGCAAAAGCAGGCTACACACATATACACAGACAAACACCATAAATCATTTAGAAACATCTATTATCATTTAATTACTAGCTCATCCCTTGATTCTTCCACCAGAACGTAAATTCTGTGACAGCAAGGGTTTTGCCCATTTTCTACACAGCAGTACCTCCAGCATTATTTATTGACACCTGGGATACAGTAATTTGTTGAATGAATGAATGAATGAATGAGGATTGAAGCTAGTGTTTGTATACCAAAGGTTGGTAGTTCAAAGAAAAAAAAATCCCTGGTTTAACAGTTTTGGTTAGATGAGATTAGAATTGTTTACACAGTTTTCCTCCTGCCATTCAAGGCTATATGACATTTTTTGTCACGTTATCTATACCAGCGGAATGCAGAATGCCTGCCTCACAGGCAGAGCTAACTACCCAGATCTTTTAGTGCCTGCACAGGTTACAGCTTGTGATTTCCAAACTGTGAATCACAAAGAGTTACTGAACCATTTATTTAATATTGCATTTCCCCAAGATGAATTAAGAATGTTCCAAGAAATGTCATTAATAAAAGCTCCACTGCAGCAGGTACTGGTTGCATGTCCTCTCCTCTCCTCTCCTCTCCTCTCCACATCACAGGCTACAGAGCTTTCACAGAGGCCAAACAGGAGTCCTGCTCCTCACCTTCAAAGAGCACACCTTGCCTCTAACTTGTATGATCCATGTTTTATGGATCAAACACAACCACAGAAGAAATTAAATGAGAATGAAATGATGAACATTAAAAAATGATAACAGTGAGAATTGGAGTGCACTATGCATTCCCAGAGAAGGAGCTGTGAGACCCTTAGCAATCAGAGGACTCTAGGGATGCAACTGGAAATCCATTGCTTTGTCTCTGTGCCCACCAGGGGACAGTTAAAGAGAAAAGCCATGCTGAGCCCCTACTCCCATATTCCCCAATGAGGTGACCTCGACACCAATGTGGTTGGATTCTTGCAAAAAAGAAATTGATATCCTGTGATAAAAAAATGAATATAATGTAAGCCTCCTAAATTATCTTGTCAGGCCCATGTTTCCACGGCTGGAAGAAAATAAGCACTTTTATAAAATGTACTTTGGAGAAAAAATAAATACTTTTATAGAAGTATCATGGCCACATTTTTTAAAAATGTGAGATTAAAAAAAATAAGAGTGCGGAACAGATCCACCATTATAACACAACTATCATTAGTATTTTGGTTTATTTCCTCTCAGCTTTTTAAATTGTGCATGTTTCTTTACATATTTCAAATATAATTTTTTCTTACAATGTTCACTAAAGATACCCTAAAATTTTAAGGATACCTAATGTTCATAAGCAGAATGTAAAACAGCTTCCTAGTGGCCTTGTGTCATCAACCGCTATCCTATGGTTAGACACTCAAGATTTTTACAATTTGTTACTGATATAAATTATTCTGTAATAAACACCCTTGATTGTACATTATTTTTAAAAATGCAATTTGAATCCTGGTTCTTTCATTTAGAGTCCTTTACCAACTCACTTACCTTTAATGAGAATTATTTCAATTTCTTCATGCATAAAATGGGCATGATAATTGCTACCTCGCAGTATTATTGTTGTTAGGATTAAATCAGAATATATGTGAAATCTCCTGATCCATGGTAGATGTTCAGTAATGTTAGTTCATTTTCTGAAATAATTTGTAAAAGTAAAGTAAACTTTCCTGGTCTTCTATTTGCAATTTTCTAAGCCTTCCCAAAAAACCTACTGCAATTGAAACAAACTACTAAATGTAGAACTACTGGGATTCGTGAGAGCATTCCAGCCTTAGTAAAAAATAATGTCTAATAAACATAAAACATTATTTTATTTCTCTTTTTCCTAAAAGTGGAAGACAACGTCATCAAAATTTTAAACTCTATCTAATATAATCTTTTTGCTTGGTGGTATTCAAAGAGAGAAATGATGCCTGTTGGCATTTGAATTGAAACACCTTCCTCCACCTTTTTTGAAGACTGGGATAAGAGCTGTGCTACTTTGGTTAAACTTCAGGGAGGTTATAAGACCGTTTCTTATGCTTATTAATTACTCTTGACCACCTAGGTCACACCTGAGTTATTAAAGACCTGGGCATCAGCCATGTCCTGCAGACAATCAGGTTCTGATAGAAATATGGCAAACGGCATCACTTCTTTCTAGTGCCCTTAGTAATTTTTACATGGTCAACATAGTACTTTTCAAAATGCTTTTAAATTACCAAGAAGGCATGAAAACAAGAACATTGACTTTTAATTTTGTATTTCTTTACATTGGACAGCAGTTACTCAGCTGCACAATTCCCAAACTGTCTGAAGTGAGGGACAGAAAAATGCATGCTTTTAGAGGCCCTGAGATACCCTTTTGATCTTAGACCTAAGTGATTATCTATTAGCTATAAAACT